AGTGGTCAGAGCCTTTCTGTGAAGGCGCGCTCCATTCTGTGGAAACTCAGAGTTGAAAGGCGTAGAGCTCGAGTTCTGGTACTGACGACCTACCTGGGACACGTGCTGGGGACTAGGAGCCTTCGGTGGCAGGGGCTTTGCGAACCCAGGAAGAAGAGGTGTTTAGTCCCAGGAGGTTGGCAGAATTTCAGTGCAGTGACCGTGCGCACTGGCGCCCTTTTCAGAAGGTGCTGCTGACACTGCTCTGCTGTCAGGCTGAATGGCTTTTGATAAACGAATCATTTAAGCGGGGACCTACTACAAACAACTTGTGAGCTTCCTGGTTTGGCCACGTGCCCCTGCAGATGTTAGATGCTGGCTTGATGCTCTGAAAAGCCCACAGAGAACGCAGCCGTTAGGATGCTGTGGGCGATGTACACGTGTTCTGGGGGGTGTTTGTGAAAACCCAAATTACTGTTTACAGACACTGTCCACAAGTACTGTGAGTTATCCCGTCGAAAGAAATGCCAGTGACATCCTCCCTGGAATCACGGGAGTTTCCACGTAGGCCTGAATGCATGTCCTGGTGATCTTCTGGAGCAGCAGTTCCAGACAAAGCTGCACCACCCTGAAGTAGAAATCCAGAAGGTGAGGGACAGTACAAACGGGGAGAGGATGTGACCACACTGCCCAGCTGGAATGCTGAGGCGTTCTGCTGTTCAGCACGCAGCTAGCCAGATCACCAGCCAGCCCGCATCAACTTTTATCCTCGACACTTGGACAGTTCGAATGGTTCTGGCTTCCGCTGGAAAAACGGCATAGCTGTTTTCTCCCGGTAAGCTGTACAGACACTGTCTGTGTGGAAGGCTTCAGGGGTGAGGTCAGACATGAACGCTAAGGCCAGTTTGGTGAGATAGCAGCCCTGTGCACTTGTCCAGCACGTTGTGTGTGGCTCGTGTCCCATGTGTGTGCCTGGGCTGGCAGACATCGCTATTTTGGGGCCTAGGGAAAGCTTTGCCAGACTTGGGCTACCGGGGAGGTTACAAAGTAGTTCCTAAAATTCCTGCAAAGAGGTGGAATGTTTAACACTGTTGTCTTCAGAAAAGCAAAGCGGTGAGGCAAATGTAGAAGTTGAACAACATATTCCTGCATCTCAGTGAGGTGAAGGATCCCACCATAGCTGTCTGGCGGCTGATGTGGGGAGGGGTGGTGCTCTGGTCAGCACTCTGATTCTGTTCCCAAAAAAAGCCCGTAGGCTGGTGACTCACTGAAACCGATCCCCGTTGGTTCGATGGCTGCGACCTCTCCAGGATGTTCAGGTTCCGTGCTGTAGGGCCTCCTGCTCTTTAGTGAATGTCCGTGGCGTGGAGGTGTGCCCTGCTGGGGCAGTACATCGCGATGCTGTGTGTTCTTACAGGTGCAGACTCTTCAGGCTTCGTTACCAGAATCTCCAGTGATGACCAGCCCTTCCCAGCGCATCCAGATCATTTCCACAGACTCTTCAGTAACCTCTCCGCAGCGCATTCAGGTACAAATCCAGCCACGAGTGACTTAACTCCTACCGCTGCTTTTGTTTTCTCCTCCTCCCGCTGAGGTTTAGGCAAAAGCACAATGAAGTCTATGGAATACCTCCTGGAATTCGGTTCAAACGGATCACTTAAGTGCAAGCTAAGGTTCTCTGTGTCCCTTGGTGCGTAGTCAGGGATGACTGTGGCTGTATGTAGTAACCCTGGAGGAGGTGGGCAGCGAGGAATACTGGCGGCGGTTAAGCAGCCCGCATATACCCGTCTCTGAGCTCCAGCTGTGGCTGATGTGAGACATGGTCAGCAGAGTACCCAGGGTCATTGTTGAGGGCATTCCTCTCTCCGCTGTGTATAGGATCAGGCTAGCTTTGGGAATGCTGCACAGTGGGTCACTGTTACTTGCAGGTAGTGTAGTGATACCATTCCGAGGTGAGAATTCTTTGCTGTTTGTCACTGCCAGCAGTTGTTCAGTATTTGTTCAGGGGACTGTCCCTCTCCACACTGCACTGGGCCAGCCCCACCTCTAGGGCTGGGTGCAGTTGTGGGCGCCTTAGTCCGCTAAGGCAGACATCGAACTCTTGGGTTGTGTCTGGAGGAGAGTGAGGGATCTCGGGGCGAGACAGGTGGAGCAGTGGAGGTCCCTCGGCTTGTTCAGTGTGCGAAGAGCAGGCTGAGGGTGCCCCAGCACAGCCTACAACTTCCTCACGGGGCAGTGGGGGGGGAAGTGCTGAGCTCCTCTGTTATCAGCGATAGGACACAAAGAGATGGAACAAAGACGCAGCAGGGGAGGTTCAGGGTGGGCGTTAGGGAAAGGCTTTTCACGGAGAGGGTGGTCACTCACTGGAACAGGCTCCCTAGGGAAGCGGGTCCTGGCGCTGAGCCTGGTGGAAGGAGTGTCTGGACCAGCTCTCAGTCCCATGGTTCAGTGTCAGGTAGTCCGGTGAGGAGCAGGGAGTTGGACTCAATGATCCTTACGGGTCCCTTCCAACCCCAGATACTCCGGGCTTCTGTGAAATCTCTGTGGTGGTGTCTCACGAGGCAGAGCAGGCCCTGCTGTGCGTCACCTGCTGTCCTCAGCATCACATCTGGTTTGACTCCTTCAGAGCAGCTGCACGTGCTTACCAGAGCTGCCCCTACCCCACTTTGTTCCTAACAGTGGCAGCCTGGCACGTTTCCAACTCCGTTTGGTACTTTCTGGCTGTGCAGTCAGTACGGAGGTGCATGTTACATATGTGTCTGTGGTTTGAGTGTCTGGGTTTGCACTCACGTAGGTCACTGCAATAACTGCACTAGTGTAATAAATGTACCAGCAGCAAAGTTATAAAGAACAATGATCATCATCAGCATCGTAGTTCTGAGACAGAAAGAAAGGCTTGAAAATGTAAAGTTGACTGCAGCTCATAAAATTCTTCCATGTGTTTTCCAGATTGTGACAGATCAGCAAACAGGTCAGAAAATCCAGATAGTGACAGCAGTGGACTCGGCTGTGTCTCCAAAGCAGCAGTTTATTTTAGCCAGCCCGGATGGCAGTGGTGCAGGAAAGGTGATCTTGGCAGCACCAGAGACGTCTAATGCCAAGCAGCTGATCTTTGCTACTGCGGACAACATCGTGCCAGGCAGAATTCAGGTAAATACGGTCATGGAGGTAGAGCATAGAGTTTTGGGTTTCAGGTTGTGATCTGTAGTGTATTCAAGTCTGTCATTGCTCTAAACCTAAAGGCAGTAGCTTTCTGTGTAGTGACTCGATTAGGCTACACTGACTGTGGGCCATGTTCCTCAGTCATAACTCTGCCGGTGTGCATGTTCCTCACGCGTCCCATCACACGCGTCACCTCTCCTTGCGTGTTCTCCTGAAAATTCTGAAGCTGGTGCTGGGGTGGGAGTGCTGGGGATCGGGGTGCGGCTGTCCAGGATGCAGAGATACAGAGATGCAGCTCACCTGAGCATGCTTGCCTTCCCAGTGCAGCCTCCAGGTGTTGCGCTCAGGGTGCTTGGGAGCAGGTGCCCGATGGGCGCTTTGCAGAACAAATTGTCTGCACAACAACGTCTCTGCAGTGAGGCGTGAGATTTCTCCCTGGCATCCTGAAGAGAGGGGTCTGGTCCCTCTGGCTGTGGTTACAGTAGAGAGGATTACATGGGGGAAGCAGCGTTCTGACAGCAATATTTGAAAAATTGTATTAACGGTCTGTTAAAATCTGTGTTACTGGGCTAAATGGGTTCCTGGTGCTACGGAGGGGTGGGGTGTTGCAATTTTTCAGTGTTAGCGGAGTGTTCTGAACAGAAGTTCTGGAACCCAGGTCCCTTGGAAGCTGACCTGTGTCTGTGATGGGTCTCAGCTCCAGGCTGTCAGAAGGGACAGATGGGAGCACCATCTGAAATGTGCCCGTCTGCCTAAAATACAGCTGCTATGGAGATGGATGGCAGGATGGGAGAATGCTGCTGGCTGCACCGGTGAGGAAGTGTCTGGGCTGGGCAAAGCTAGAAGTCTTACTTAGAATTCATCTAGCTGTGACTGTTTCAGCGCCTGCACTAGGGACAGTACAAACCCTCATTGCCTTGCACATCATATACTACTTCATTTTATTCCACGTATCTGACTTACTCTCCCATTCAGCCACCTCTTCCCAGTTCTGCTCTGTGGTCAAAGCTCCAGGCTTTGACAGCAGAGGAACACATTGGCTACTTACCTTGTTTTGTTCTGGAACTGTGTTTTAGATCGTGACGGACTCTGCTTCGGTGGAACGTTTGCTGGGCAAAGCTGATGCGCAGCGGCCCCAGGTGGTAGAATACTGCGTAGTCTGTGGTGATAAAGCATCAGGTAAGGAAGCTGAGAAAGCAGTATGCCAGAAGCTCGCTTGGAAGGGTGACTGGGACGAAGGGAGGAGGGTTCCTGTGTTTTAACTGATTTCAGCCATGCTGACGGCAAAAGCAATTGAGTCTGAAATGGAAGAAGATAACATACTTTGTACACACGGAAGAGTTAAACTCTGCTGGAGAGGGCATCGCTTTGTGCTTGAGCTGGGCTGTGTGACAAACAGTGTCTGCTGAAAGACAGAATCGTGACTGAGTAGCTCCTGGTGCCTGAAAGAGAGTGTGTGAAGCACTGAGTTGTTTGACACAGCTGCCCAGAGCTGTGGGGATCCCGTGTCACCTACAAGTGACATGCTAGCTCACTCGACATGTCACCCAGATATCTGCCTGCTGCAGAAAAACCCTTCTGGGGGCTGTCTAACAACCTTAGGGCGTCCTGGTGGACTGTGGTCTCTTACTATCACAGAAAAAGGCAAGTAGAGATAACTGAATCCTCGGTGTTTCAGGTCCATGCAGTGACAAGGAGGCCACATGTCCGCATTGACCCGGGAAGCGGACTGTGCTGTCCTGCTGTAGAGAAGACACCTCTCTGTCTCGCTGTCTGCTGTTTGTTTAAGTGTGTAGGTAACTAAAACAGTACCAGAATTGAGATGTAGAAGAATTGTAAGTGAAGATTTCACTGCAAAGTTGATTGTAAAACTGCTTATGTTCTGAAATGACTGAAACTCTTAGCCTGTGCGTCCTTTTAATGTGGCCTGCGATCTGTGAGGGCAGATGGGGTGGTATCTGCACTTGTACAGAATGGGCACTACTGCTTACCAGGCCTCTGGCTCTGATCAGCCTTAGCCTTCCTCCCTCCTCTCCACTCTCCCACCAAAACACCCTGACCATAGGTAAACAGGGAACCGCCTGTAAGAGTGCACCAAGGCTGTCGTGATCCCAGGAGATGGGGAGAATGCACACCAAGTTTCACGGGTGACTTGTACAGTGTTTGACCTGCCTGAGTTAACTACCTGTATGCTAAGCCAGAAGTACTCTGCGTCTGATAGCGCTCTGTGTGTTTCCTAGGTCGTCACTACGGTGCTGTCAGCTGTGAGGGATGCAAAGGTTTCTTTAAAAGGAGTGTGAGGAAGAACTTGACCTACAGTTGTCGTAGCAACCAGGACTGTATCATCAATAAACACCATCGGAATCGCTGCCAGTTCTGTAGGCTTAAGAAATGTCTGGAGATGGGCATGAAAATGGAATGTGAGTGTTGAGTACCCAGTGGCATGCTGTGCCTACCGAGTCACCAGTACCTGTGCTACCGCTTTTTCCTGTGCTTTCTCCACACTGTTCTCCGTTGCTTGAAGGGGATGGAGCTTTGGCAGACCAACAGTCTCCTGTACCTGTCCCTCCCTGCCGTGCTGTGGCTGCGGTGCAGTAGTGGTTTGTTTTGACCCGTGTCTCACAGCTCTGCAGTCTGAGGAGCACAGGTAGAGCCTCAGTTCCCAAGTGTGCTATGGGCACGGCGTGTTTGTAAGACAAAGCATTTTGACGTGGGTCAGCATCTGTCTGAGTCTGATGTTCCACAGTCCTTCTGCTTTGTTTCTGCTGCCTTTTCATCCAGGGATAGAAAAGAGTTCATGTCCTTCACCTTTAACGTCCTTTTGTTCTGGTTTCGGTTTTGTACTGATTTGGTCACTTGAGCCCTGTGTTATGTGGCACCACACGAGCTGTCACATTGCAAACACTGCAGTGTTTGTCTGCCGCGGTGTGCGGTCTAGTGCTAGCATCCAAACAACTCTTCCCATGGGTTTTGTTTCCCATTAGCGCCTTTGCTTCTCCAGCCCAGCACTTTGGGAAGCCTCTTATCTGGCTTTTGTGATAAGCTTATGGAGAAGCGAAAGGGAAGCAACCACTGCTTCTCTTTTCCCTGCTCTGATGTCGGCTGGAGAAGTCCTGCCACTGAGTTCAAGGGGGCCAGGCCTTTGGGCTGTAACTAGGGAGATCCTGGTTGTACTTGCACCCTGGGGTGCGTGGCGATGGTTGTGCCTTGCACACACTGTGCTGAGCGTAGGGGAGAGCTTTGTACAGGAGAAGCTCCTGCATTTCCAGAGCTAAACCTCCTGATCCCAGTACAGTTAGGGTCTGGGCCCACTGACTGCATGCTTTGGATTCATGTTTCTGTATCCACCAGGCCAACAAAACAGATATACCTAAAGCCCCTAGATTTTGCTGACAGTAACATCATCAGCAAAAACAGCATCAGGAGCTCAATCACACTGCTGGTTATGAGGGTAGAGGGCACATCCATGCATTTTATTGTTCCCTTCCAAGGGGCTTGAGAGGAGGGTTGAGTGTTTTGTGTGCTCGTTAACAATGTTCATCTCACGGAACAGTGCCATGTGATGAATCGGTACAGCGAGTGGCGCAGGAAGACTGCCCCTGTTTACGTTATGCCTTCCATGGGCCAAGTGTGCCAGCACGGGTCTTAGTTCAGCATTTTTAGAAGCTGCTTCTACTGTCCTCCAACTCTGGTATTCGTTGCATTGTCCTCGTTGTCAGCTGAAAAAAGGAAGCAGTCGAATGTTATGCCCAGCTACGGAGGAGTTTGTGGTGCAGTGGCCGATCCCAGATGGCTCTGTAACCTGTTCAGTCACAATGCCTTAGTGATGTAGCAGTGCACCCTTTGCTTTCTCTAAAGCTGCCAACTTGCTGGTGTTCACTCTTGCTGTTAAAAGCTTCACCAGTGTGTCCTGTGGGAGACTGAGCTCATGTCCTTCCCATTATCAAGTAGGAATATTTGAAATCCTGGCAGGGTTAGCTCCAGAACACTGTTCCCTAGCTGGGGGGAGACAGGGATGTGAGTGACTTGTGTACTGTGCAGAGCCTCGTTTGCCAGGGAATTAGCCTGCCACTCTCCTGGAACGTGCCTGTCTGGCCTTTTGGGGTTTGCTCTGCCTTTGCATTGTTTAGAATCAGCTGGGCTATGACTGTGCCCAGCAGGTCGGTGCAGCTTTGCCCGTAACAAACACCAGACCCAGCCAACATTAGCCAAACGAAAGCAAAGGAAAACATAAGCCATGGGAAAGCACGTTGCAGAGTGTTGCACCTCAGGAAGTGCCAGTGGACTGCCAGGTTTGGCTCCAGTTCAGCCACACTTGAGGCAAACGATCGATCTGTGGCTTGCTTAAGTAAGAATGTCCATCGTCACAGGGTAAAACTGGAGCCTGCATGGCGCCTGCCTTCATTCCCAGTTTCCAGCTTGGCACTGATACGCCACCATGACTGTGCGCCTGGAAATGCTGCTTGAGAACTGTGCTTTCTTCTTGTAGTTGGAGTTCCGCTATTTCCTGTTGAATGTGCGTGTCTGTCTTCCGTGCAGCGGTTACTTTCGATGTGCAGCGTGAAAAACCGACCAACTGTGCAGCCTCCACTGAGAAGATCTACATCCGAAAAGATCTACGGAGCCCTCTCATAGCAACGCCAACGTTTGTGGCAGATAAAGACGGCACGCGGTGAGTACCCTGGTGTGCTGGGCCTTGTGCGAGGCTGGGACGTGTTCCCTTGCAGGCACAGCCGTGCTCCAGATAGCAGCTCTGGTTCCCAAATGGCCTGCCTGTTACCGCGACCAGCCCAGGTTGGTTTGCTTCTCGTGGAAGTGCTCGTGCCAGGGTAGAGAGGTGTGGTTTTCTGCTCGGAGCTGGCTCTTGTCCAGCCAGCTCAGAGCACAGGCAGGGAAACAGATGCTGTTCCAGCAGAAAGCAGCAGGGCTTATGGTGTGCTGCATTCACGTTGGCCCATCTCTGCAAGCATGCTTGCAGACGGCAGCCAGCCTTCTCCTGAAGGCAGTAGTGAAAGGCCCTGCAGTGGCAGCTGATTCACATCCCAGTGGCTGCTTTCAACAGCAGCAGCTTCCTCTTATTGCATGGAAGGTATTCCAAAGCCCTTCCCGTGCGCTTGGTTGTCCCCGTAGGCAGTGCGGGTGAACATGCATGTCATAAGAAACCCAGGCAAGGTCTGTCTCTTTCTGAGCAGAAGAAAGAAGAACCTGGGGTGAATGGCACATGGATAGTACCCACCTCAGGACGTTGGATCTCAGCACTGGGGTGTTTGTATAGATTTATTGAGCTTGTTAACTACCTCTGCTCTTGGCTGAACAAACAAACTGCCGTCAGGGAGCTTGGGCCGCCTGTCTGTTGGGGAGGTGGTTCCAGTGTTCTTGTTCGCCAGGCTGGTTGCTCAGAGGTACTGCTCAGACACATCTGCCTCTTGGAGATTTCTGTGTGCTACAGGTCCCTCACAGTCCCGTGAACATGTGCTGGTCCTGAAGTGTGACTCTGATTTGTGTAGGATTCAGTTGCATAACGCACGGTCACATGCTGCTTGCGGCAGGTCGCGGAGTTGGCTGTTAGTCTCAGATCCCTAAACCAGGACGGCCCTGCAGCCTGACCCTGGTGTGCCTGTGTTTGTATGGCATTATGCAGGCTCGGAGTGTTGTGTAACTAACTACTATCTAACCCGTCCTTGCTGACTGCAGAGCCTGCCCCCTCTCTTCCCAAGTGAGATGTGGCAAAGGGAAAGGAGGTTTGTCAAAAAGCAGAAGTGAAGGCAGCAGAGGTTTTGTGCCAACTTTGGTGACGTGACTCTTTGTGGCTGTATTTTGGGAAGTAAAATGTATCTTCTTGACAGAACTGTTTCCCTCAGTGCTGCCCGTTGTCTGACCGGGAACACAGTGGTGCCTTCCTCCCAAGTCGGATGAGTAACTCTCGAGCTATTAAGCGACTTCGGAGAGCATGAGAAGACAACAACTTGCCTTAAAACAGAATAAAGCACCATGAAAAGGAAATGAGAGGGTGTCTGTTAGGGAAGTTGTCATGGCTTCTGCCCAGAAAATGAAAGTGTATTCCAGCTTTTCTGTCTTCCAAGCTAAGTTTTGGAAACTGGTTCCAAAACACTTAAATCCTGATGGATAAATGCAGGGCTTCAGGCCATTGTTAATGTAAATGTTGGTAATCCCGTTTGTTCTGACATGGCTGGTGACACGTTGTTCTGGTTAACGTAAGATACTGTGCCTCTCAGATGCCTTACGCTTTTGAACAGGTCGTCGGGTCTTCTGGATCCGGGAATGCTGGTGAACATTCAGCAGCCTTTGATCAGGGACGACGGCACAGTCCTCCTAACTGCCGACTCCAAGGTATTAAGTTCTCAACACGCGCCGAGTGGTTCAGATTACTTGCACTGGGTGTGTCGGCACAAGTGATTCTTGCTCTTGAGCAGGTAAGGTTGGTGTAAGCCTGGAGGTTGGTAGGTGTGGAGGTGATAAACTGATCAATGGCGGCGTGATGCCTTTTCAGGGCATGTCTGTGTAGAAACACAGGCAGGGGTAGTTCCCCACATCATACGTCAGCCAGGGCTGGTGTTGGACGGCTGCAGTAGGGTTTAAATAACCCTGGGAGCCACTGTCCTGCCTGTAGGTGCTCAGGAGTGAGGGAAGGGTGTTCAGGAGGGAAAAAGAACACCAAGATGGAAAACGGGAAAAGGTTACCTATGATACGCGGCCTGTAGTTCTGCTCCGCTGAATCCAGCACATGCGGTTCCTCCTTTCTAGGCCGAACCCAGCCAGGGTGCTTTGGGGACGCTGGCCAATGTTGTCACATCTCTTGCTACTCTCAGCGAGTCGCTGAGTAACGGTGATACGTCGGAGGGTAAGCAGGAGGAGCAATCTGCAAGTGAGATTACACGGTAGGCGCCCACATTGGCACCTTGCTTAGGGATTTGTGTTCTGTTTGGTGTATGCTCATGCGTGGGGGTAATTGGGCACCCTGACACCGACCACAGTAGGCATTGCCCTCCCCCCCACACCCCGTGGAACACCAAGCCAGTTCTTGAGAAATCCAGGTTTGGCTTTTGTGGGGAGCTGTGTCCTGGGGCAGAAATGTGGTGTCCCGAAGCTAGACCAGATTTCACACTCGGAAAAACCCTAAATTACTGGTTTGGGCCTTGAGAGACCCTGAGGATAGAAACCCTTCGTTGCTGTTTGATGTGCTGGGCTGCTGACACTGAAGCCTCTGCCGCGCCCCGCGTGTGCCCTTTGCCCGGCCCACAGGGGTCTGTGTTACGGCGGGTCTCCCTGAGGCTGCCCTGCTGGTAGTGCAGAGAAAATGTAGTGAAACTGAGAATAATCAACTTCCTTTTCATGTTGAGAAGGAGTTCCGTGTCTTTGCCACCCTTATTAATGAGAAAAATGGGAACAAGGAACATGGAATCCTAAAGCTGCTAGCAGAGCTTGAGATTTTTGCAGTGGGGCCTTTTGGTGGGGTTTCCGTTTGGGGTTTTGTTTGGGGGCGGCTGGCTGGGTTCAAGGCTGAAGTTCATTGGCAGCGGAGCGAAGGGTGAGAAATACTTGGCCTCACAAGTGTCCCTTGTTCCTCAAGCAGGAATATTTAGGAGGAGCTTAAGTTCAGGCTCTGAAGTCCTTTATTTAAAACTCTTCGAGTGAGTGAACTCATGTTTGGAAACACTTGATGCTACGACTTTGACTGACGTCAGCTTTGTACTCCAAAGGAGAGCAAACAGTCCGCCACTGCACCCCATCCTTTCCCCCACCAAGGTAGTAGCAGAGCAGCAGTCCCCCAGTTCTGTGCGCTGGTGTGAAACTGGAGCACCATGTTCCTCTGCAAGCTGCTAGAGCGGAATTTCCAGCAGTACGAGGTTCCTCCTCACAGGCAGATCTTGGACCTGTCCATGTCCTGCTGGTCCACTCCTCTTAGTGCCATCCGGGCAGGACAGAGGGGCCAGGATGGAGTGACAAGTCTGAACTCTGGTCTCAGCAGAGACAGGTCCTGCATGTTTGCCCTGAGGATACGCCTCAGCGCTTCATCTGAGCACTGCGCTGACCTTTAAGGAACTGCTCTCACTGCTTAGTGCTTGTTTTTCAGGGCGTTTGATACTTTGGCTAAAGCACTTAATACCACAGATGGTACAGCAGCTCATCACCTGGCAGACGGGATGGATCCTACGGGAGCTGGGAACATTCATGTCATCAGTAGGGACCACTCCACACCAATCATTGAGGTGGAAGGACCCCTGCTGACAGACACACACGTCACGTTCAAGGTACACGCTGCTTGGAGCGTCTTCAGGAGAGAACTAATGCCACACAAGTATTTGACTGCGTTTTCATTGTTCTTGTATTGAGTTTGGGCAGTATAATCGCAGGTGGCACCTGCTGTGACAAAGCTGCGAATACCGTTTTCACTCTTGCATGCTGGATCCCAAGAGTAGAGGGGTTATGCCGTGTCGTCTTTCCATAGGCAGGAGCTTTTGCATTTTGGAGATGCTTCAGCTGAGTAGCAGCCCATGTCAGTCAGCAGCGTGGGAGAGACAGAGAGGGTGTCACTGTGCTGTAATCGTGTTGTGCTGCTTCCAGAAACGCAGAGGTCGCTGCTGAAATAAGTAACGCTTCCTGCAGCCCAGCTTGCACCGTGACCTGCTGGTTCCCAGCGGGGGGTTGGTGACTGTAGGTGCTTGTGATGTGCTTTTCCTGTTTTAGAGGTTTAGATTTCAGATTTCATTTTGCCTCCTTCTACAAAGTGTTCGAACCTCTTCCGTCGCACTGTGATGCTGGCCAATGCTCCCCAGAGCAATGACACTTACAGGTTTAATTATTATTCAAGGAGTATTAAAACACGGGAAGAGGCAGTATTTGAGCGCTCTCCCGCATCGTTTCTTGCCTCTGTTCCCATTCCTTGCCAGCAGTAACGAGCTCTGTGGTGCAGTCTTCCTCTGGCAGTTCTTCGCCCCCCAGTCACTGGCAGCAGACTGAGTGCAGTGTCGGGGGGGGCTGGCTATGTCATCGTGAGTAACAGTGGATTTGTGCATACTGTACTGTTCCTGTTTTGCAGCTGACCATGCCCAGCCCGATGCCGGAGTACCTTAACGTGCACTACATCTGTGAGTCAGCGTCGCGGCTCCTTTTCCTCTCTATGCACTGGGCTAGGTCCATACCTGCGTTTCAAGCTCTTGGGTAAATGGCCACGTTCGGTTCAACTCTTGGCTTTCTGCTGAGTTTTAGCGCTGAGCTCAACACTTCTCAGCTGTGTTGAGTTTTTAAATTCTGATAGTGCTTAATTTCTCATGGATTTTCTGAAATGTGTGAAGACTGTGCAATATTGTCCCTTCTGAAGAACAGAGGAGGAGCTGGCAGAGGGGGGGATAACTGCCATATCCACAGTTACTGCGGTTGCAGAAGCTGAAAACTAATAAAAGCAGGCAGTTCACTTGTAGAAATAGATGTTGGTAAAGTGGTGGTGAGCACCGTTTCCCAGGGAACCTGGAACAGTTCCCTGTAGTTAGCCTATCACTTCTTTTTGCTGTTTGAAACACCTGTCATAGGCCAATAGATGCCTCTTAGTGACTTGGTTTGCAATCCATCCCTCCTCATTAACTGCTGTAACTGGCACAGCTGCACGCAGGGCAGCACCAGCCCGATGTGCCAACGGCCTTCAGTGCTGGATTTATGTTGTTGCAGGCAGGACTGCAACACGGGCCTTGTGCGGGCCTGCTGGAACGAGCTCTTCACCCTTGGCCTGGCCCAGTGCGCGCAAGTCATGAGCCTCTCCACAATCCTGGCTGCCATCGTCAACCACCTCCAGAACAGCATCCAGGAAGGTAGGGTTTCCACAGGCGGTGCACCTGCCCGTTCAGCCTGGGATGCTGTGTCCCCATTGCTAGCAGAATTGTTCCAGGGAGGGGGCACGTTGGCCTTTCCTCTGGCTGTCAGCAGCTGCTGTTGCACTGAGCTCTCTGGGAATAGAATTGTTCAGAGGAAAGGGGGATGATGCTGGAGGAAGCATTCTCCTGGCCTATGCCTCCAAGTGGCAGCATAGAGAGCAACAAATGCATCCTGAGCTTGGCTGTGCTCACACAGCCTTCCTCCTATCCATGTGGAATTTTTTTATTCCTCTTGGAATAATGAAATCCTCTTTCAAACCACTCAAAATGTTTTCTTCCAGAACTTTCCTTTTCCTCTTGGCAGAGTAAAACCACAGCATTCGCCAAGTGTCCCACAGGAGTATTCCTAGTAGTATGCTGGTTCTGGATGCTGCTGACTGCAGTGGTAAGGAGTGTAGCTGCAGTACTCCCTGAGGCACTAAGCAGCCGCTTTCCTGACACTCCTGAGAAGCTGTGGGCAGTGTTATTGTGGAACTCGGGTTGGCCTGGTCACCATGGTGATGCTGTGTGGAATGGGTGATAGCCTGTTACGCCTGCTTGTTTCCCATTCTTTCCTGTCAGAATGTTCCCAGGCCACGTGACTGATGAGCACGACAGCAATGTTCAGTTTGTAAGAGGAGGAAAGAAACAACACCACCCTTTCAGCCCTGTGAACCCAGCACGTGACACGGCAGTTCGTTTCACTCCAAGTGGGAGTTCAGAGTAGTTCCAGAGTAGCTGATGGTTGGTGTGGGGCCGTCGCTGCCCACACAGCACAAATTGACAGCCTGGCTGTTACTGAGGAGAGTCAGACTTCCTTGTAGGACCAGATATGTACAAAAGGAGATAATGTGAGACTAATGTGTGATACCCCCCAGTCCTAGTGGAGTACCTTGGGTTTAATCCCTGTGATGGGCTTCGTTAGGCTGGAGTAAGTTAGACAAATCTGATTCCTAAATGGATAGCAGGGCTTCTTCATGAGTGGGGTGGGGTCGTGGTTTTGGTTGGGGTTTTCCTGGGAGGCGTAATTTCAGAGCGCCTGGACATCCCTCAGAATGCAACCATCTGATACTCCTTTCCTGCCGAGAGCGGGCAGAGGCTGGAAGAGCAGCAGGGAAATGCGCCCACGGCCTGTCCCGCACAGTTAGCTCTCTCGGCCACAGGTCCCAGAGCCGTGAGTGCACCCGCACCCAGGCCGTGGGGCTGTCACAGCTCCATGCTGGCTGCGCGTCTGTTGGAGATGTGGGAGCAGGGCAAGCTGGCTCTGCAGCCGGTGCTTCCCATCACACCCTGTTACCTGGGGCTGGCCGAGGAATGGGCACTGTTGGGGTAACTGTGATTGGGTTGGTTTATCTGCTCTGCAAAGTGACCACGTTGCACTGGGGATTGTAGCTTCAAAATGCAAAACAAAGGGAGGAAACTTCAGAGTCACAGAGCAGTTTGGGATGGAGGGACCCCAAAGCCCCCCCAGCCCCACCCCCTGCCATGGGCAGGGATACCTTCCATAGCCCAGGTTGCTCCAAGCCTCATCCAGCCTGGCCTTGGGCACTCCCAGGGATGGGGCATCCACAGCTTCTCTGGGAACCTGTCCCAGTGCTCCCCACCCTCTGCAGAAAGAATTCATTCCTGATCTTCCATCTCCCTCTTTGCATTTAAACCCATCATCCCTTGTCCTGTCACTCCCTGCCCTTGTCAAAAGTCCCCTCCAGCTTTCTTGGAGCCCCTCCGGCCCTGGAAGGGGCTCTGAGGACTTTATCTAGGAAGCAGATGAGTGACGCAGCTGTTTGGAAACTCCGGAGTTCAAGTTCACTTTTCCTGAGTATTCCTGCACCATCGTTTCCCACTTACTGTAGAGATAAAACCAGGAGGCCGTGTCCAAACACAGTAGGTTTGTATCCCTTCGGAACTGCCTCAGCTCTGAGGTTTGAACACAGTAATGACACACTCAAAGGTGTCTCCTAGCATCGTGTGTCCAGTTTGAGTCCCCGAGTGCTCTGCAGACGAGCATTCGGAGTGGGTCCCTTGACCAGCACGGGGACCTCCCCCTCCTGCACTGAGCAGTGAATCTCACTCGCTTGGAACTTGCCCACAAGTGATCAGAGTTCTTCTGTCTTAATCAAAGTTTTAAGACGGAAGGTGATGCCGACACAGGGGACGTGCTGTTTGGAATGGTGGGAGAAGCGGTGTTCCCGTGTCAGACGATGTGCCCCAGCGGAGGGAAGGACTGTTGCCCACCGTACCAGCAGGGTCACTTGCAGCCATTCAGCAGAGGGAGGTGCAGCACTCCTGCCTTCCCTTCTGGCAGAGCTCACTGGGACAGTTCCAGGGTAGAATTAGGATTGCACAGCAGCGTTGTGTTGTGCTTCTGTTTGCCCCAGAGTCACGTGGCCATGTCTCGACCATCGCTCGAGAGCTCCTGCTTGGAACAGCACATCGTGGCATAAGGCTGGTGTGGCAGATGATGCTGTGCTGGGAAAATGGTGGGAATGAGGTACCGTTCTGTTGGCGAGCCCTGTGTGTGACTCGGCGTCCAGTCTTCACTTCTGTAACCCGCCAGGCCGTCCCTGCGTGCTCAGCGCCCCTCAGGTCGCAGAGGGCACGGCGTACTTGGAAACGGCACGGGGACCGGAGGAGGGAATGGGTTGACGCAGGAGATGTACTTGAGCTCACATGAAATAGTACGCACTGTCTTTTTGCAGATAAACTTTCTGGAGAGAGGATAAAGCAAGTCATGGAGCACATCTGGAAACTTCAGGAGTTCTGTAACAGTATGGCCAAGCTTGATATTGACGGATACGAATACGCGTACCTTAAAGCTATAGTCCTCTTTAGCCCTGGTAAGGAATGTGCTACCCAGATCCGTGTTTGGTAATGAGCGTTCCCATGGCAATGTTGTTGCGGTTGGGTTTGTAACGAGGCTGATGTCTGGAGCTGAGACTGATCTGTGAAGCTGCAGACAAAGTCATTGTTCCCTCGTGTTAGCACAAACAATCCATATTTTTAGAACAACTCTGGAGCAGTGTAGCCCCCTTACTTACACTTCCAACACAGGAGGTAGTTCCTGTACCTCCCTCAGAGGAGCAGACTCTCGAGTATCTGCAGTGGAGAATCTGTGAGTGGGAGGCTGGCTGGGCTCTGTCCTGGCGGTGTCGGTGAGGTAAACGGCAGGAAGGGCTAGAGGAAATGCGTTCTAGTGACAAGTTGGCTTCCCCTCTCATATTTGCAATGCACTCGTAAGAGGGATTGCTGCAGTAGGAGCAGCCGTACCCCTGCCTCCTACACGGGATGTCCGCAAAGCCTCCAAGCCCGAACGTAAACAGGCTGTGTTCCACTTGTCACCAGCGAAATACCAACAGCCGCGCCAAGCAGGATGCGCGGTGTGTGAACTGCGAGGGTTTCCTCGGAGCAGACCCTGGGGATTTTCTGGGATGCTGAGGTAAGAACATAGAGGAAGTGGGAAGTGACAGTCTCCGCAGCCAAGGTGGGGAGTGGTTCCTGGGATGCAGCAAGGTCAGATCTGCACTGCTGACAGGTTCAGGGCGACAGGAGCTCTCATGCAGGAGTGGGACCTGTGTCCGTCAGTCCAGAGGTGTTCACCATGGTGCACGTAACGACGTCCGAGAAGGATGACCCTTGGCATCAGGGTGCGCTTTTTACACCCATCTTAGTTTTCTCTTTATCAACCAGCATCCCTGCACGAGAAGGTACTGTGCTCCTCAGACTTCCCTTTGGAGTTTCTCTGCCGATGGTGCCATTAGCGTTAGGTTTGTTAGGGTTTTCATTCAGCTTGGAGGAGCAAGAAACTCCTGAGTCCAGCCAGCTCTGTCCTGTGGCAAGGGAAGAGCTGCTGAAACTCAACACTTAACACTTGGGCACATTAGATATGTGGCATTTTCAGGTTTTTTCCAGTTGTGTGAGTGTCCTTGAGGAGCACAGCCAGCTGGAGTTAGAGCACGAGACAGACTCGGGCAGGTCAGGGGCACAACTCTGGGTACTGCTCAGTCAGAATAAGGAGTGCGAACGCCAGGGGCAAATGCCTGGGAGAGGCAGGGTTAGAAACACAGCGGGGAGTGTCCTTGCTGGGCTCATCCCTACAGGCCTCAGCTTGTTCCACCCTTTGGGAGATGCATGAAGCCATGGAGAGGTGTGAGCAGGCATGTTCTGAGAGCAGGAGGCGGCTGCCAGAGGGGGTGGTTTCCTTACTGCAGCTCACGGGTCAAGCGGCACAATGCGGGAGTCTCAGAACGACGGGTGTTTCACCATGTATAGGGGCACAATCGACATACAGCCATGTTTTGTCTCTTTAGATCACCCTGGTCTGACCAGTTCAACCCAAATAGAAAAATTCCAGGAGAAGGCACAGATGGAATTGCAGGACTATGTACAAAAAACCTATCCCGAAGATACCTATAGGTATTTATTGTCTCTAGTACCCCAAGTCATGTTGTGGGCCACAGCTGGTGAGAGTACCCCAGCTCACTGGCGTACAGATCCCGGTGTGACGTCTGTTCATTGTTGATCCTCGCTGGGAAAGCTCTAGGACCTTGGCCGTGAGGGCAGGAGGCTGGTGTAAAGGTAGAGGCGAGCAGAGCTGTCGGCCCTCTGCCGCTTCACTTCAGCCTGGAGATTGTCTTCTCTTCCCGTTCCTTTGTTTGAGGGTCTTACGGCCGTGTTTGGAGAAGCAGGAGGCAGACGTGCTGCAGTAGGAGGGGAGCACAACTGCCTCAACCCTCTGCAACCCCAACTGCCTCCTTTTCCCCGAGAGTTGTCAGAGGCTTTGAGAGGGCGCAGGGTGCTTGTGCCCTTGCCGTGCTGGGGGAGGCACGCGTGCAGACCTGCAGTAGAAGTGTTGGCATAGGAACCTTGTGGCAGCCAGGTACCTGTGGGGAACAGTAACAGCTCTGCAGCTTCTCTCCAGAAGAAATTCCCATGTCCTGCTTACTTTCTCCTTTGGTTTCTTTTTTAAATCCCAGGGACTTGTCTCTGAAAGTATCCCACTTCCTCTTTCACCTCTCCACTGTCCCTGCTTCTTAATCGCTAGAAACGGTTATCCTATTTTCTAGTAATCTCCATCAGAACCAATTTAAATGTCATCAACCCAGTGGGTCTCTGCACCGCAAGGGCAATTCCCAGGCCTGTCTAGCAACGTAACCGGAACATTCTCTCCCTTACTGGGCAAGGTGTCCCCGTGCCAAGCGCCCCGCCGGCCTGCGTGTTTCAGTGAGGTCTGAGAGTCAGGTACCTTCAAGAGACAACCGAGAAACGCCCCTAAACGGGAGCAGTTCTGCCGTCTTGGGCTCTGCTCTCTGCACTGATGGCACGGGGTGGGCCGTGGGGTGGGGCAGCAGAAGGGGCCTTGGTATTCCCAGTTAGGTGCAGCGTAGGTGGATTCTCTTCTCCAGAGATCCTCAACCCTCCCTTGTGCATGTAGTTCTGCTGTTCTGCCTTGATGTGCGAGAGCTGGCCGTCGGCCCTGGAAAGGAGTGCAGGGTTTGTTCCATGTGCTTCCTGGTCCTCGTGCTGGCACAAGGTAACAAGGAGAGTGGCATTTCTAGAACCACATCCCGCATGGTAACTGAAACAATCTGTGTCCCCATGCTCACCCACCGGTAGTTTGAGGCACATGGCTGATTGTTCTGAGCCCCGAGCGCTGGCACAAAGCGACAGAGGCACGAGCGTCACCGCTTCTGCAAAACCAGAAGCAGAGCTGGAGTGGTTCTGCCGTTTCCCCGGAAGGTTCCGAGACCCGCTGTGTTAGCAGAGTGCACTGGAGGTGTTCTCCCCTTTTCCAGAGGCCCGTGTGCAGTGCTGCCTGGCGTTGGCTCTGGTTCGGGCTGGGTGGTTATTGTGGTGTCAGTGCTGTGCATGGGCCGTGCCAACGTGGCAGGAGCGCTGTCACCGCTGTCCGAAATTGCCAGTGTGCTGGGAGTGCAGCCACTCCTCGACACTGGATGTCTGCTGATGTCCCGGTGCGTGGGAACCCACAGCATGTGGCCGTGTGTGCGAGCAACAGCACAGCCCTCCGAACTCCTTCCCTCGTCGCAGGTGGGTTCTGTTCCACCTTGCATGTAGCCAGTGCCGTTCTGGCTGGCCAGGTTGGCGTGCAGCTGCTGGGCAGCCGAGGACTGGGCTGTGTACGCTTTACCTGTTAATTAAGCATTTTAAGACTATGGAAACATTCTCGCTAGTGACTGTGACCGTTACTCGCCTCAGCGTTGTCCTGAGCCGTGCAGTGCTTCCTGAGCTGGCCCTGTCAGAAGCAGAGCAGGAGCACTGCATGTATGTATCCGCAAAGGGCATTAACTTGTGCTTGTCACTGGAAACCACAAAGAGGGTGGCTTTTCATTTCACTTGCAGGGTTAAAAAGTAACGGTTCTGATTATGGCAGCCCAGTTAGCTTTACTCGCCTCTGCTCCCATCTGTGGGTCATGGTAATAACGCAGCAGCTCCAGCTCTGTAGCCACAGAGAAGGTGACCAGGTGCTGTCCATGCTCATAACGCACTGCCCTTCTCTTTCAGGCTGGCCCGCATTCTAGTCCGCCTGCCGGCCCTTAGGCTGATGAGCTCCGGCATCACCGAGGAACTGTTTTTCACTGGCCTCATTGGAAATGTCCCCATTGACAGCATCATCCCCTACATTCTCAAGATGGAAACGGCCGAATACAACGGTCAGATAACTGGCACGTCTGCATAACGTGAGCAGCACCGTTCCCTGGAGCGAAGGCATGTCCGTGAAAACGGGCAGTTATGAAGCGAAAAGAAGAGCGTTTCGGTATGTACAAATACTTCCCGTTTGCTCCCGCCGTCCTGCCAGGCTTTCCTGGTCTCTTGGCTGACGTTGCCCAAACGGAAGCAGATGCTAAGAGACTGGCTGCAGGACCTTTTTCTCTACCAGGAATACTGTTTATGCCTTTCATGGCAAAGGCTGTAGATGACGGAATATACTTTTCACACGGTTTGTATTTAGGAGTTACCAGTGGTTACAAATAGAGTTTTATAATATCCGAGGTTAGTAATAAAATGACTTTAAAAGTCAGAAGAACAGTATGTATGTATTCAAACGTACCCTTGGAGTTCACAGCTAACACGTGCCAGGGTGTCACAGCAGCACTTTGTAAGCACTTCTTGTCACAGCAACATCATCAACAGCTGCTGTGGGATTTGCAAACTGGAGAAATGGCCTATGTCCTCCATCCAAAGACTCGTGGTGGCTGTGGAAGCGTGGAATGTGACGGGAGACAATCAGTTACTGTACAACAGAAAGCACTTGCTCTGAGGTTCGGCGTGGCACGCGACCGCGGGTTCCCGAAGCAGATATCCGTCCTGGATGAAAGTGCTCTGTTCCGTGAGTGTGGCTGTAACGTGCAGCGCGAGGCAGTCCCAGTGACTGTGGCACGGGACAGGAGTCACCCAAACAAGGAGGAAAAAATGTGTTTCTTGCCACGGTAACGATGCGCCATGCAGGTTCCCCACAGTTTCTGCTCGGACGGCTCGCGGGTGTGGGGAAACGAGTCGTTAGCTGAAGGGCACTCAGGTTCAGGTAGAGCTGTGTGGTGGATGCTCCTGGAGTGTGCTCCTTGTGTTTCTGAATTTACACCCCCTCCTCATCCAGCCAGAGGTACTGTTTCAAGCCTGGAATGCAAAAGCAGATGCCAAAGCTTTCTGACTCCAATTCTTCTCTCCTCCTGCCCCTTCCCTGAGGGAGCACTCCAGGAGTGCTGCACTCTCCACCTGCTGGTGTCTCCATTTGAAACCGAAGTACAGCTGGGACTGACGCTGTCACGTGCCATTGCAGCTAAGGACAGATAGACCGTGGGCTTAGGAAACAAACTGCTGCTTCGTTGTCCGGGGCGAGGAGCCGTCGGCATGTGGTCTGGTGTTGGCCGGGAGCTGCTACCATGGCGTTCCTTTCAGTGCGGTTTGCTTGCACTGGCATGAGGCATTTCAAACAGAGGCTTAAAGAAGGCCCTGGCAATGAACACCTTTGCCTGGTGGCTATGGCAGTGTGGGGTTGGTGGGTGGGCTAGATGAGCTTACAGGGCTTTTTCCAACCTTGGTCCTTCGGTGGCTCTGGTCCTGGCTCACTGGAAACATCAGTTACTTGAACTCTGTTTGTATGGAGGAGGCACTTCCTGCTGGTGTGGTTTTATGTGATACAAATTAACGACAAGTTCGGCACTTTTGGTTTTACCCTGTTTGCACATTTGTTTAGAAACACCAACCAGGTTGGTGATTGTGTCTTTTAAGGGTCTGAATTATAGCCACAAGACCTTAAGCAGCTCTAGATGAGGCTGGTGCTGTCAGACAGAGCCTTGAGCTGGTAGACTTCGTTCTCAGCAGGAGGCTGTGTGCGAGGCGCTCCTGGTGACACAGACTCCCTCGTTGTAGCTTCTGGACGCCTTGAAGTCTGGTATGGTTACCACTGTTGCAGCATTCCGAATCCTCTCTTCTCAGAGGGGTGTTGCAAGGAGTGCGGTGCACGTGTGGAGATGCGTGATGCTGCGCTTCCATTGCTCTGGGCTGTTCTGTAGCTGATGCCACCGTCATCCTTCTGCTGCAGCAGAAAAGGGAACTGGAAATGATGGCATGAGGATGCTGCGGAAGCAGCTGTGCTCCAAGCAGCTTTCTGCAGTAACAGCCCCAGTCAGGGACCCCGTTGGAGCCGGGTGGTATGAGTGGTGGCACTGGCAGGTCCCTCAGACGTACGTGGGTGCAGCAGGCAACCCCTTTGGGGGGCACCGCCCTGAAAAGAAAATTAAAATAGTGTGTTTCCATTCGAAATCCTGCTCCTCTCCTCCTGTTACTCTGTAGCGTGTGAGAGAGCAGCACCGGTGGGTTGTCTTTCATCTGCTCTCCCCCGTAGGAGAGAAGGCAGAGGTGCTGGGAAACAAGAAGGAAGTGCCACGCTGGCTGCACAGGAGCAGGGCAGCCCTGGCCCCGCTGTCCTCTGAGGACAAGCATGGGCTGCCCTCAGCAGCGCCTCGTGCCTCCCTACAGCCAGGGAATCCCCACGGTGCAGCCACGGTCACCCCGGGGAGCAGAGCAGGGGCAGAGAAGGACAAACTACCAGCATCTGCTGGATCCTGGGTGACAGAACATGAGTTGGAAAACCGGCTTTGTGTAGGAGCTGCCACAGAGGGCCTGGCAAAGGGCAGGAGATGAGGACACCCACTCTTTGCACCTCTTGGACCTGAAGTTGCTGAGTTGTTTTCAGTAACTTCTCCTGAACTACAGCCAGGCTTTTTGTTCGATGAACCCTGCCAAAACCCCTCTGGTCAGGTGATGCTACGGCCCGACTTGCACTGCAGTCAGTGCTGCCAAGGTTAGATGGGCAGCAGTTTGGCCCAGCACCTTACACCCTGCGTTACGCTGAGCTTACAAGTCACGGTGATGTTCTGTGTCAAGGTTGGATCCTCTGGGCGTGCGTATGCTAGCCGTGGAAACCCCAAAGCCTAGAATGACTGGGTTAGTGAGCCATCCACTGCACTGTCCTGTGCAGTTCATCGCAGATCACACTGTCATGCTGTTCCGTAATTCCCACAGCCTGTACCCTCCGAGATACTGGAATGCTTGCAAAGTGGGTTGTTACTGTTCCATCCAGGCCTGTCTTCCCACTCTTCAGAGGGTTGGAGAGGTTGTGACACATCTCCGTTTGGTGCCTCCCAGCACTGTGCATTCTGTGTGTCCCGTTGTCCACCCGCTCGAGCAGCTGGTGCATGTGTACATACATGTACACATGTGTGTGTTGGGATGTGTGTTGTGTGCAGTGTACAGCAGGGGCACCGTGTGTGTTTACGTACAGGTACGTGCCAGTGTTCATAGCGCGTGGAATGGTGAAGCTCGTTAGTGGAGCACAAATCCAGAGCTCCCTGGCTCTTGTTTCTTAGCCCACAAGGAGCCTTGCTGAAGCCATGAATCCTCACGAGTTTTGGGGTGTTGCAGTCTGTTCTGAACACCACCCGACCTCAGTGTGTTCTGTTCACAACTGCCCGATACATCCCCAGGATGTTCTGCCTTTTCCTTTGCTCCCCTCCCCTTTCCCCTTGGATAGGGAAGTCTGGCAGTGAGTGGTTAGTGCAGCGGGTGATGCCTCTTAGGAGAACAGCGACGGCCACCCCGCTTGCAACATCCGCTCGCTCTGTCAGCCCTCAGAGGTGCTTTTCGGTACGGCTTCACTTTGCAGTCCAACTCGTACGAGAGGGGTTGTTCCAAGTCTTCTGCCGTGGCTGATCGAAGAAAGCCAGGTTGCCCGTGATGAGTGCCCTGGAGCCGCAGAGCAGGGCGCAGAGGGTGCTGCTTACAAGTTGCTGCACGTGTTGCCGTGAGGGTGGCATGAGACCCAAGTGGTTGGTGGGCAAGGCTGTGCCCTCCGCTCAGGGCAGTGACGGCGTTGCCCTGCAGGAGCTGCAGTGGGTTTCTCGCTTAGCAAGCGTCGAGACTGATGTAGGATGGCCAGGCCATGTCCCGACTGTACACTCGCTTCCCACAGTTACTCTGTCCTGTGCGGCGGAAACACGGCGGAGCTGGCTTGTGCCTCCAGCGGTTGGACGGACACCCATCCTCACGCTCTGCCCTGCCCTGGAGCGGTCACCCGCGCGGATCTCGCACTGTGTGAGGCTCAAGTAGGCTGGCAGCAGGAGAACTCGTTACCCACAGGGACTGTTCCGACATTGAAACTCTTAACGTAGGTGCAGCCTGTGTTCCTTTCCCTTCCGGTGCCGGCGCTTACAACAGCAGCCTTCCGGGACAGTCCACGCTGGTAACGGGGGTGTTCAAAAAGCGTCTCAGAGCCTGTGGTAGGGGAGTAGCTCAGCGAGGCCTGTTTCTGTCAGGTAAAATGGTGAAGTGGTGTTTTCCAGGCATTTATTTCTGCCTCCTGTACTCCGTGTGGCAGCTGTGTATGGCTGAGCAGTCACCCTGAGAGCACACGAGCTGCTCCCACACCCAGGGTCGATCCCACGCCTTGGCATCGGGCCCTCCGCTTGCCAGGCTGCGCTGCGGAAAAAGCTCAGGAGGTCTCTCTTGCTCACTCCCTCGTTTAGTAAACTTTTGGTTCAAATAAAGAAAAACCCCTGTAGATCCTTAATTTCAACATTTCAAAGCTTATTTTTGAGGTTTCCAGCCAGAAAATTGTTTACGCTAGTGGAGGAATTCCTGTGCGGATGGTCCCTCAGTGGTGTCCTGACCATCAGCGCCGTTGCAGGGGCGTTTCCTTTCCCCTTTCGAGGCACCAGCCTGGCTGGCTGCTCGGCTCAGCATGCGGCAGGAACGTGTGTGGAGATTGGGGACCCACTTGGGGTACAGACTAGGAGTGAATCTGGCTCAAGATTCTGTTGTGGATGTAGGAAAAAGAGCATATTGTGAAACTGCACCTGTTTTACATACATGCCCAAGCTGTTGGCGTTCCAAGGGAGAGAGTGAGCTCTAAACCAAGGGCACTAAGGGCCCTGGTGCAGGGTTCTGTGGGAAGTCGGGATGTGAGATCAGGTGTCTGGGTTGGAGCGCAGAAAGTGTGAGGCTGAGGACCTGACCTGCTGCCGGGTACCCAGCACCCCCACCCTCCGGCCCTTTCCACGAGCTCAGGTCAGGAATGGAGGCACAGGCCTGTTGGACATTATTCTCCATGACTGTGGGTTGAAAGGCGGACAGGGTAACTGTCAGATCCAAAAGATGTTCTTTACGAAGACTCGTTAC